GTGCGTGCGTGCGTGTGTGTGTGTGTGTGTGTGTGCACTCGTTTGTGTCCCTCTCTGCGTGCGCGGGTTATCTATTGATGTAAAAAACGAAAAGAAAAACTCTTCGAGGGATACCTACTCGGTTCTCTCCACTTGTGTTTGTATGCTTAATGACGGAAGAAGGGAATGATCTGGCAATCTCTAGTTCGGGCGCGTGGTTACACCGTCCACCTTCTCTCTCTTTCTCTCTCTCTCTCTCTCTCTCTCTCTCTCTCTCTCTCTCTCTCTCTCTCTCTCTCTCTCTCTCTCTCTCGCTCGCTCGCTCGCTTGCTCGCTATTCGTGTGTGTGGTTCTGGTCTTTGCTCGACTACGCACCATATATGCACACAAAGACAAAAAGGCACTTCTCATTTTGCACATTTGGTGAGCACGGAGTAGGCTCTTGTGTATGCGTCGGCATGTGGGCCTGGGTTGTTTGCTCTGGTCGGAGTGCATGCTTCAAGCAACCCATGAGTGTCCTATTCGCCTGCCAATCTGAGTCGTTTCTTTCGTCTGCTTTTTTTTGGGGGGGGGGAATTCTTTCGTCTGCTGTTTGTAGGTCTATTTTTTTTTTTTTTTTTTTTGGGAAAGTTATCCTTGCGTAAAACAGCTCCTGGGGGCTCGACACAGCGTACGAATCGAAAAAATAAAGCGAGTGGAGCGTCCCGTGAAAGGTGATAAATTGTACTCGTTACTATTTATAGCAGACGGATGAACGTGTCCTCCTCCTGCGGGAGGATGGACTATTTATCGATTTATGGCCCCTAATCTTCTCTGTATCGTTCCAATTTTAACGGATGTCCCGAAGGACGGTCGTTTCGTTTTCCGTTCCTTGTGCATGCCTTGGGAGTCAAACTGCATCCCGTTTCATTTGTTTTTTTTTTCCATTGTTTTTTTTTTCCAACAAACAAACAAATGCGCTTTTCGATTCGTGGGGAGCTGCACGAGTTGGGAATCAAGCCCAACGTCCCTTATAATTTAAATTGAGGTCGGCATGGTCTGTAGCGGACCTCGGGTTGGCCTGTGAGACCAGCCCCTTGGCCTGTTCTCACAGGCCTGTGTTGTATTCGGGGTAGGCCAATCCAGGCCGGTACCTCTGTTGGTACCAGCCAGTCCTGTCCAGTCCCGTCAGTCCGCTGGGGTAAACCCCAGCCACTGTCTGTTTTCAGGCTCATTCTTCACTTGCACATTTTTGGAGTACATGCGTTGGAGTCCTGCGTGGGAGCTGCGCTGTGCATCATCTTGCTCCCCCTTCTTCCTCCATCTCCATCTCTACCACTAGCGGAGCACCACACCTAGTGGGTCCGCTACATTGGTATCGGAGCGGGAACGGTCCCTGCTCCCTCCCATCACCCCGTACAGCTGGGCAGCAGCCCGCACAAGTGGAAAAACAGCAAAACCCGACAGCGGGTTTTTTCGGTGTTTTTCGGGTATTTCGCAGCGAAAACGAGGGAAAAAAGTGGCGCATGCTGCAGGTGACACGTGGCGAAAAAATGAGGTGCCACCACGAGCGCTTGCCAAGGCCGCCGCACGCGTGCACGCCACGTGCCCACGCTGCCCCGCCCCGCTCCCAAATTTATATTATCAAGATCCGGGATGCAACTGCTGTTGCTGGGGTTTGAACCCAGGTGCCTGCTGGGCCATGCGCGTGCGTAAGCACCCTGCTAACACACTCGCCATAGAGTGTACACGGTGTTGTAGCACGGCACACTCGTGTTAAAGAGGTGCCGTGCTTGCTATTTACACCCCCCCCCCC